TTCTCCAATTTGTAATGTACCTCATAGGAAGAAAAGAGTTAGCTGCAAAGAAGCATCCATAGTGTAATGTATGTCATTTCACCAGAGCTCAAACAGCAACTGTAATTATTGTTGTCAGAAGGCATTCTATACACCACTGCTCTTTTAAATGGAGGCTACCACACGGTGCCCAACCTACTTTGATTTAATATCAGCTCCATGATTAAGGTAGGCATATATATTAGACATCTACACTTTTAATAGGGTACCTGTACCTTGGGTTTGATATCCAACTACACACCTGACTCCAGCTTTTTCATGTAGACGTTAAGATGCAGCAATGATGGCCTAAACGGTTGGGTTTCTGCCACTCATGTGGGAGATTTGGGTTGGGGGTCTCAGCTTCCAGCTTTTTCAGTCTGGTCACTGTGGGCTTCTGAGGAGTGAACAATGGATGATAGTATTCTGTCTTTCTTGCTATCTCTCATTCTCTAACTCTCAAGGAGAATTTTACTTTTAAGCATTCTGATTTTGCCTTTTCTAGATTTTAAAAATTAATTTGTAAGAGAAAAGATTTCATGAATTTCATGGATACAAGTTCAATAATACTTTCCTGTCTTTCTTCCTGTCTCCTTCCTTCCTTTCTTTCCTTTTGTTACCTTTCAATTATCAGCATGACAAGAGTCTGAGGTTAGACCCATACACAGAATCCTGTATGTTTCTGAGTGGTCCCAATCCTGTCCTGTTTGCCATGTGGTTCACCCCAACCCCCTTTGTGATTCAGATCATCTCACTGAATCCCTACCATGCAACCAATTCACATGCAAGTTAAGAAACATATCTCAAGTAAAACTTGAGGCTCTGTATCTAGATTTAGCCTTGGGATGTTGGTAGAGTAGAATCTGAACTCAGAGCATCACCTGCTTGCTGAGAACAAAAAGTACAACTGGAGGTCTACCAGTTAGACCAGCAAACAACAGAAGTACTGTTAAAATGGTAAAACTTTTAAAACTAAATAGGCTAGAATCTACAATTTTGCAGTCTAAAAGCATGCTAAACATCATGGACTTCAAACCCTAATTTCACAGGTAGGCAAACTGAGGCCCAGCTAAGTGTGGGATTTGATCAAGTTTACTTGAGAACTCTATGGTGATTAAACTGAAAAAAGAATCCTGCAGTCTCTCTGGAACCTAAATCCAGTACTTTTTCTAAAGAACTATCTGATCTCTTCTGTTTGAATATTTATTGTGACAGATAAAGAAATGTGTTACAATTAATAATTATATTTCTCAACATTTAAGCAACAACTACCTTCTCCAGAGGTCTGGGGCCCACAGAAACTGTTTCTTAGTTTCTTTCTCATTGTTCAGATTTGGCTAAATGAGGAGGTTAAAGGTCGGATGATAAAAAATTCTAGCAGACAAGGGATCACTAAGGTAAATCCAATAAAACACTCACTCAGTTTGAGGGAATAAAACCATTTAAGAGGGTCTGGCATGGTAGTCTAGTGGCTGAATCCTTGCCTTGAATATACCAAGATCCCATATGGGTACCGGTTGGCTTCCCGGCTATACCACCTCCCTTCCAGCTCCCTGCTTGTGGTCTAGGAGAGCAGTGGAGGATGCCTCAAAACCTTGGGGCCCTGCATCCACATGGGAGACTCAGAAGAGGTTCCGGGATCCTGGCTTCAGATCAGCTCAGCTAAGGCAGTTGCAGCACTTGGGAAGTGAACTAGTGGACGGAAGATCTTTCTCTCTGCCTCTTCTTCTCTCTGAAGATCTGACTTTCCAATGGAAAAAAAATGAATGTTTTAAAAATTTTTAAGAAAAGAAAAATTTGCAGAATAAAAAATAGAGAGGTAATTTGAAAGAGAAAATCATCTTGATCTTCTATGTGTTTGTGATTAGATCATGTCTACCTGTTCCCATTTCTCCCTTTTTTCCACCCTTTTTCTCCCTATATTTTCTAAAGTCCTAGTCACAAACACACCATCCTTGAGGGCCCAAGAGGCTCACCTAAACATGTAGAACTGAATAGATGAGGGAATAGATCTGGAATGATAAATTTATATCCAACAGGATGCTATTCCATTGCTGCCAAGGTATAGAAGAGATTCTAAAAATACCATGGAGAGCATATTACGATATTTTAATGGGGTTTGTGTGCTCCCCATATGCACTTTTCCTTGTAAGATGGATTGTACATTTTAACAAATCTATATTTAACTTGGGAAGAATAATTTACCATGTATGCTACCTGGTAGTGAAATTCCTATTTCTGAAAAATCTTGATTCCAGTAATTACAATAGACATTTAAAGACAGTGCTTATTGTGGCTGTGAATAGATATGATGTCCTCATTAGGAAGAAAGAGAAAATAGTGCAGGTAGTGAAGAATAAGTAGCTGCTGTTGAAGACAGACACTTTGCAGACAGAAGAGCAGGATGTCCAGGGTGACCCAACAGTCAGCTTCTCTTCATTCTCTCTGAATGTAAGAAAGCATTTGTAAGATATTTATTAGGCATCTACCACATCCCAGGATTCCTCATGGCTTTGAGAGTTCACATTTCACCAAAGTGGCAATGATGATTAAAGTATGAGAAAGAAGACAGGGTAGAAAGGTGGGGTCATTATTTAGAAGAGTTGATGAGTTAGACCTACTCAAGGATGTAAGTTCTGTGCTCAGACCTAACTACTGAAAAGGAATGATCTTCACAAAGATGTAAAAGTGGGGCACTGAAAGCAAGAAGGGATCAGCCAGTGCAGTCTTCCAGACAGAATGAGCTCAGAGCCTCAAGGCTTGATATAGGGCAGCATGGCCAGAGCAGGCAGCAAGGAGCATGTGTAAGGGAGGTGAGGTCAGTGGGGCAGGAAATTCAGTTCTGGGTCATGGTCAGATACTAGAAGATTTCTCCTGGGAAAATGACAGTGCTTTCTAGATACTTTTCCAAGAGAAAGGTAAACAATGTGCTTTTGCTGTTTCTGTTTTTATTCCTTTGAATCATCCGGCTTCTAAGTAGAATGGCTTTTCTCACTGCAAACCAAATGTCATAAAACTCTTTGCTAATAGTCCCACCTTTAGACAGGCAAGTTACCACTTTCAGATGAAGAACAGATATCCCATGAGGTTGTGGTTCCAAAAGTAATCTACCCATTGCCTAAGCCAGCATCCCAGGAAGCAGTGAGCATCCTTAACGGAAAGTACACAAGCAGATTATTAACGAGCTCCTTCCAGCTTTCCTAAAACACTGTGTCCATTTTTAGGAGGAGCTGGAAGGGTGATTTAGGCAGTCCAGTTGTGATCTTTAGGAGACAGTGATTTTTCAAGCTCTGTCCTTAGGAATGGACAGAGCTGAGACTCATGGCAGACAGTTGGCGCCAAGGATATTACATTCTTCAGTGCAACATGGCCCGGTGGATATTCAAACCTTAAAAATGTCCACCCAAAAAGGACCCTGAGAACAAAAAGATTTGGCAAAATATGAGATGGAGTTGAAGAGGAATCCTCATCATCTTAACAGAGCTAGCATGCAGTATTAAAAAGTGAGATGAGGATGGGGTGTACAATGCTTCCCAAATATGTTTTATCAACAAAAAGCATTTGTTTCTGCATTTTTAAAAACAGATTTTCACCTGAGGGTTTGTCTCCTGAATAAATCTAGACTGTGAACTCTGATTTAAAAATGAAGTTTAGGAACTAGATGACCTAGGGTTTTATCCCTTATACTTATTAACATTAAATTACACTGATCAGTATAATCAACCATGAAGCAAGATTGGAAATCACATTTGAACTCTACAAAATGGATCCTAGGAGAATATTCACACCACTATGCTTTAACTATGTCTGATACACTGGGAGACCTGAAAAATCAGCAAGCAAGATATACAAGCACAAAATGAACATCTGCAGAAAAAAAGTAGGCTGAGAGCTTAGGGCTAGCTGGGAAAATAAACACTTGTTTTCTTAAACATGTTTCAGCAGCAATCTGAAGCAGGAATCTTTTTGCCTACAGCATGTTTTTACCTGTTGAAGCAATGCACAATGTAATGGAAAGAGTGTTAAAGTCAAGACATCTGCCCAAGTCAGATATGTACAAGCTGTGTAATCTTGAACAAATCAGTCACTTCATTAGTCTTGAGTTTTATCATCTAAAAATGATCCACTAAGAAGAATCATTTCCAGTTATATTCATATTTTTGCTAAAGATAGGATTTCACTCTTTTATGGCTGAACAATATCCAGTCATCTGATGAATATTAGTTTTGATTTCATATCTTGTCAACCAATCTCAAATAGACAAATATTTGTTTTCTCTGATATGTAGTAATTACACAGAATACAAAATTGTATAGGGATGAAATGGTCACTTTGGGATATGATTGTACTTTTAGCCCATGTTTACCTGCAGTGAAAATGTGGCATTCCTATTTTTATACTTGCTGAATATTGCAATTAATGGCAAATTAAGCAAAAGGATATAGAGTGAACTAAAATTATGTTTTTTCAAAAGTTGATGAAGAGAGAGAATGTTGGTGGTGGGGCAGGAGCAGGAGAGTAAGGGAAACGTGATTGCCTTCTTGGAACTGTACCTTTGCAACATAAAAAAATCTGTTTTATTTATATTAATAAAAACATTTTAAGGGACACAGTAATTCCTTTTTTACCTTAAAAAATGATCGTAGAGACAAAGTGAGACAATGCATGGAAACACTTGGTATATATGACTACCATAATTAATAATCTTGGTAGTAGATAGATGGGAAGGAACAGACGAATGCACAGGTGGGATGGACAGAATAGGTGGACTGGTTAGACGGATGAGATAAAAGAATGGATGTGTACAAGGATCAATGGATGGATTCAAGCATTCTTGGATGGATGGTTTGGTTGGTTAGATAGGTGTATGGCTAAATAATGGATGGATGGATGGGTGTAGGGTTGGATGAATAAAATAGTAAATTTATTTTGTAACAAACTGACAGTTTATTCTATTCAGTAATCTTTCTCTTCTCTTCTAGTCTGCTCCCAGTTCTCCAAAGGAGTCTATGCCATCTTTGGGTTTTATGAACGGAGGACTGTCAACATGCTGACCTCCTTCTGTGGGGCCCTCCACGTCTGCTTCATTACACCTAGCTTTCCTGTTGACACATCCAATCAGTTTGTCCTTCAGCTGCGCCCTGAACTGCAGGATGCCCTCATCAGCATCATTGACCACTACAAATGGCAGAAATTTGTCTACATTTATGATGCAGACCGGGGTAAGCCATGGTTAGAGATACTGTTGATGAATAAAGAAAAAGTATCAGCAGGGAGTATGATATCTTTATGTTGAAAAAACATGGAGAAATTATTTTTTAAGTTATTTATTTCTGTGAACCAATTTCTTGGTAATTAATTCCCAACTCACAATGTGGAAACACACCCTTTGAGAGAGTAAACTTCTTAATACACCATGCCATTCGATAGCCACCATGCTTCCATGGCTCCTAAATCCAGACTGAGTATCCAAAGATCTCACTTGAATAACTCACTGCTCAAAGCTTAGTTTTTTTCTCTTTTAAATTAATTAATTTATTTATGATACAGTTCTAAAGGCTCTGGGATTTCCCCCTTCTCCCTACTGATTTGCCCTATTTTATTGCAATAATATGGTCCTTCAGAAAGCAGTCATAAGTCCATCGATCTGCTATTTTAAGTGTATCCTGACATTGTAGATATGGAGAATGGCAGAGTCCAGTATTCTATTTTCAAGATATTTAGCAGTTTCATTGGGAGTCTGTCTTTCATTTAGAAGTAGAGATGCATACTTCATTTTATCTTATTCATCTCAATATGACAGTTTCTATTATATAGTTCCTCTAGATGACTATATATTTCTTCCCATATCCACACCAGCAGATGTTAGTAAAATTCTCAATGTAGGACAATCTCACTGGAGTTAGGTGCAATCTCAACATAGTGTTCATTTGTATTTCCGATAGTTAGGGAGCCTGAGCATTTTTTCATATGTCTGTTAGCCATTTGAATTTGTTCTTTGGCTTGGCTATTAAGAATATAGTCTGCCTGTATCTCTCACTCTCTCTTTCTCTTTCTGCCTCTAAAATATATTAAAGAAATTAACAAGTAGGCATTTGCTCTAGCAGTTAAGATATCAATTTCCCAAATCAAAGTGCCTGTATTCAACACCTGACTCTGATCCTAATTCCAGCTTCCTACTAGTAAAACCCCTGAGAGGCAGCCAGGAAGACTCAACTAGTTACCTCCCTGCTAGCTTTTGTTTGAAAGCTGGACTGAGTTCGCACTTTCCAGTTTCATCCTAGCCCCATCACAAACACTGTGGGCAATTGGGAAATGAACCAGTATATAGCATATGTCTCTCTCTCTCTCTTTCTCCCTCTCCCCTGCCTCTGTCATCCTTGTCCTATAATAAATTAGTACAACTTAAACACAGAAAAACAGAGAACTCAGACTTTGGAGTCAACTTGAACATAAATTCTAGACTCTCTTCTCTCTAGGTGTTTGAGTACACTCTATACCTCTGCTTCATTTTTGTAACAGAGCTATAATACACATGCTTTAGTTTAAAATAACCTCTATGTCACATAGGTGTCACGAAGATTAAATGGCTAAAAGGTATTTGTTCAGTATAGTAGTACAGTAAGTACATGAAGTTCTTAATATATGTTCACTGCTATCATATTCATCATCACTACCATCACTATCATCATCATCATCCCTCTCAGGATTTTCTGCCTCTTTTGAATTTTACATCATATTTTCCAAATGTCTCAATTTTTCTTCTCTGCATTTTTACTCATGCCAGCCCCATTTTCCAGAATGCATTTCCTTTCTCAAATCTACATATGCAAATTCTTATTCTCTTCTACAATCTGCTCAAATACCACCCTCTCCTACCCTAATCCTCTAGATGCAAATTCGTTTTCTTTTCTAGGATCTGTAGTGTTTGCCTTGTATTATCCTATTCTCCTTTTGTATACTAAATAATCAAGTAAGAATCTGGTCATTATAAGTGGAAATAAATAAATGGGTCACGCAAGCCCTGCATACTGAAGCAAAGTAGTATTCCACTGACATGGTTGCATGTAGGGACTCTTACAAGATTTTGAATAGGGGAAAAAAAAAGTGAGTGAAAATGGCTTTTCAAGACAAATGCCTGTAGTGATAACAGTTAACATTATTAACTATACATCTACTAAAAGAATAGGATGCCAATATATAAGAAACTCAAAAATAGTAAAACAATCCAGTTAAAAAGGAGCTAAGAATAAAAAATGGCATTTTTTGGTGGATGATATACAAATGACCGATAGACACGTGAAAAGGTGCTCAAACTCAGCAAACACCGAGGAAATCCAAATAAAAACCACAATACACTTCTACCTCACCCCAGTTAGAATATCTATACCCAAAAATCCAAAAACAACAAAAGCTGACAAGGATGTAGAGAAAAATGTATGCTAATATGCTGTTGGTGGGAATACAAACTAGTGCGATTATTATAGAGATAATATAGATTCTTCAGAACTCTGACCATGGATTTAACAACAAATGACCCACCTATCCTACTCCTCAATGACCCATCTATCCCACACTTCTGAATGTATCCAAAAGAAATGAATCAGCAGCTTAATTCACAGTAGCTAAAATACATAATCCACACAGATGTCCATCAACTGATGATAGGTTAAGCAAAACATATATATACATATACACACACGTGTATGCACACATACACATTATGGAATACAACAGAGCCATGAGAAAAATGAAATCCTGACACGACAAAATGCATATAAATAGAGATCATTAAGTAAAATAAGCTAACCCAAAAGGACAAATATAATGTTTTTTCTGATTTGTGGTAGCTAATATACAGTATAAAAATGTAATGTATATGAATGAAACTGATAACCATAAGATTTGATTATTTATAACCCCTGTCTATGCTCCTGAAAAACAGGGGTCTTTTCCACATTGCATTGGTTGGATTTGTTTAGCACGGGATTAAGTTCATTTTTAAGAAATATACTGAAAATTTTATTATAAAAATTTAAATAAAACAGAAAAAAGGAGAAGAGTCGGGGGAGGGAGAGGAAAGGTAGAAAATATCATTACATTATTAAAATTGTACATATGAGAATACATAAAATCTATTCTCTTTATGTAAACAAATACATTTTTTTAAAAACCTTTCCTGTGTATCAGAGATTACTACTTAATCCTGATGACCGAATCTGGTAAGGTAGACATTATTTCCATACTCACTATATCTCTGAAGAAATGAATGTCTGCAAATTCATCTATTTAAAGTCATTTTGCAAGTGTGTACAGTATAAGTCTCAGATTATGCTTTTAATCACCAATTCTACCGCCTACTCTGTTCTGAGAACAGAAACACAAGAGGGACCAAGTGCCAGCCTTCACAAAGCTCAGAGTTGCAGTCAGAGAATGCTGGAGCTGAGCTGAGTGGAGGAGTAGGCCTGAAGCTTGACAGGGCAGGTCAGTGCTCACTGGAAGTGGTTGGTGCCTCTGTGTGTCCTGATTGGCTTTCTCTGTCTTAATCTTTCAACCCCCAGGCTTGTCCGTTCTGCAGAAAGTCCTGGACACAGCTGCCGAGAAGAACTGGCAGGTGACAGCAGTCAACATTTTGACAACCACGGAGGAGGGCTACCGAATGCTCTTTCAAGACCTGGAGAAGAAAAAGGAACGGCTGGTGGTGGTGGACTGTGAATCAGAGCGCCTCAATGCTATCTTGGGCCAGGTAGTGAAGTGAGCAAGGGCTCCTCTTGGTTAGGGGGGACATTCAGGGAAAGCTGTATATAGTTTTGCCTTGGGAGTTGGTTCTAAGGAGGGCTATACAGAGAGTTTCTGATGCAATGAGACTAACTTCCTTCTGTATCACATTGTGAAATTTTATGAAATAGCACAGACAAGGGGAGACTTGACCAGGGGCTTTAAATGATTCTAGAACAGGAAAACCAACATCTTGCCTCCACTGTTTCCCTTATTGCTGGAGTAATAAATTACATTGTATGTTAGTAGCACATCAGGAACACAGGACTGCAGAACCAAATTCCTGGGTTCTATTCCTGGCTGTGCTACTCCCTGATAATAATGCCTGCCACCCCAACCCTTTGGTCCACTAACCTGTGTCCAAGGAAGTAGCAAACACCTCTGTTACTACTGTTTCCTTCAGCAGACTGTTGTTGTCTCTGAGCAATCTTGTACTTGCTAAGAATAGATCCTGTCACTTCCATAATTTTTACCCGGAGGTCTGTAAACTACAGCTCCTGGGGTTTTCAGAACGAAAACACGTGCCCACCTCAGAATCAGTAAGACTTTTTTAATGCCATTTGTGTATTTCAGCGAGCAAGGAAGTAACTTTTACAATCATTTTTTTAACAGCACTATATAATAAAAGGTGGTGGTTTTAGGTACTTGACAACATGACAAATCCTGCTAATGGCCCTCAAGTCCCCGGGGTACCCACAGGGAATCTCAGCATCAGCTCTGCAATCACTCAGAAGCTTCAGCCACAGAACAAGGAGAGATTTTGAAATTTCTATCATCGTTAAGGCATTAACTATATGTGTTCTACTTGAAGAAATCAGGAAAAAAAATGCTTCTATTGAGTCGAAACTTTGTAGGCTGAAGTTAGAGATTTGAGTTCAGGCATTAGGGCAGTGGACAAAAAGCAAAGAATTTGGAACCCTGACTGCTGGAGTTGAAATCCCAATTCTAGCACTTAACCAGCTTTGTGATACTGGATAAGGTTTTTACTATTATTATACCTCAGTTTCCTGCATTGCAACATGGGCATCATCATTACTGCCATTATTCAAGGGCTTTTGTGAGAATTTTTAAAAATAAGTACATGACAAAGCCTTAGAACTCATGCAACATTAAGTGATACATGTGAACGTTTGCCTATTTTTTGTTGTTCATAGTGCCAACTAATACAGGCCTCCTGAGTCACTTCCCTCTTTGAACATAAGTGTATTCATCCGTAAAATAGGAAAGTCAGTCCTTGTTCTACAAAACTGACAGAAAAATGAGAAGAGATAGGAGGAAGAGAAAAGTTCTGCATGACAATGAGATGCTTGCCTTATATTGTGGTATGGTACCGTCAATAGTCACTGCTACAATTTTTCGAGTGCTTGTTGTATACCAGACACTGTACAAAGTCCTTACCAGGCATAATCCCATTTCATCTTCACATCAGCTCAATAAAACAGCATATACCAATTCAGTTAATAAATGAGGAATTGTACCTGTCCACAGTCTCATAGGTAACATAATTAAGTCAAACCAGTTTGATCAGGCTAAGCAGTCCAATTTCTTAAAATGCAACTTTCTGCCTCTACTATCCATCACCACCTCTTCTGTCAAATGGTAAATTTATTTTCTTAGGAAGTGATTTGGTTGTACAGATGTCTTAGACTGTGGTAAATCGACATTATGTGTGTGCATGTGTGTGTTTCATTTTTGTATGCTGAAAAGAGCAAAGAGATGACAGGACCTTGGAGATCACTTGACTTACTGCTTATGTACACATTCTGCAGAAGAGATAGCTGACAGTCAGACTGACAATGATTTGCCTTGGGCTCAGACAATTAGTGACAGTGATTACTCTATAATCTTAATCAGATTTACAATCTGACGCTCCTAACATCAACATTTAACATTCCAATAATTAGGATCTTTTCAGCCTAATACAAAATGTTCTGTCCAGCCTAGGGAAGCAAACAGTGACTCCAAATTCCAAGTAAAGCATTAATTGCTTCTCCCTGTGATCAGCACTCCAAACAGAATATAAACTCTGGCCGCTGGATATTCACAATACCTTGAATGATACCTGACACCTACTAACTTTTCAATAAATGTTTTTTGAGTGAATTGAAACAATAAGCAGTCAATGAAAACTTTAAGAAAGATCTCACAGAAGAAGTGGTTGTGCTAGATAAGAGTCTTTAACTTGGAGGGAAAGGGCCCTAACACAGTAGCCCAGTGGTTAAAGTCCTTATTTTACATGCGCTGGGATCACATGTGGGCGCCAGTTTGTGGCCTAGCTGCTCCATTTCCCATTCAGCTCCCTGCTTGTGGTCTGGGAAAGCAGGAGAGGATGGCCCAAAGCCTTGGGACCGTGCACCCACATGGGACACTTGCAATAAGATCCTAGCTTCAGATTAACTCAGATCAGCTCTAGCCATTATGGTCACCTGAGGAGTAAATCAGCAGATGAAACGTCTTTCTCCCTTATCTCTCCTCCTCTCTGTAAATGTGGCTAAGGGAAGGGTATGTTCGGAAGCCAATAAGGTATGTGAATGCTAAACTGCAGAATACATCTTAGCAGGGTAAGTGGAAGACACTGCGCATCTATATAATATGATGGCAAGACTATAAACTCAATCTGTGAATATCCTTGGAAATTATTCTAAATAGTTAGAGGTTTATTCTAAAAATCGTGGGGAGACAGTGAAGGCTTATGAGCAGAGAATAAGGGCATTTATTCATACATTTACAAACTGGCTCCCAACTGACATGTCAACTCAGCTCAATAAGAGCACAGGGATTTTGTCTCATGTGTTCATTGCTGTTTCTCCAGCACCTGTTCATAGGTGGCTCTCCCATCTGATGCTTAGCGGTCTATGCTCAGACAATGTGTGCTGAGTGGATTAACTAGTCATGGAAGATTTTACGGAGAAAATGAGATTACAACTCAGTATTAAGAGGCAAGAACAATAACAGAGAATGAGGGAGAACATTCAGATACAAAAGATTTGAAATGAAGACAACCTAGGGAAAGGAGTTTTGAGGTAATGGGCCCCATGTGAAGTTGCAGGTGATAATTAGAACTCCTTTCTCAGCTTGTTCTCTGCATTCTTCCATTTAAGTGTCTATCATGGGTATCTTTCTGGGGAAGTGTTACCTCCAAGAGGGGTAGCCACTATGCTCAGTCTATCATGTTCCTGGCACAGTAGTAGAAACTGAATAAATGCTTGTAAAAGGCAACCACAAAGGGAAAAATGGTAGTCAAAAGACAGATGGGTGACATGAAGCATGTGAAGATTGGAGTGAGATTAAATATACAAAACCACCAATTTTTATCAGTCAAAAATAAGTGATTGGTTATGGCATACACTTCCTTCTGCACTTTGTACTTCTCCATTGTTTGGATATAGTCAATTTTGAAACATCTTTTATTCACTGTTCTATGTTTATTAGAAGCTGAGTAAGTTTCTGTTAAAAGTAACTCATTGTTGAAAGAGCAAATCATTTGACAAGAAGATGAAAAAGTAATGAATAATTATTAATGAAACTATCATCCTGATAGTGTATGAGTTCTGTGGTCTAGAATTTCAGATCATTCATTGTGTGTATATGCATTTAATTATTCCCTACATAAAAAAATATGTGAGCTGCTATGCACATACATCCAATTAAGTAGATGTCTGAATGTGGAATTTAATAACCTTGAAAATTTATTTAGTTAGAGCAGAATCCCAAGTGCTTCTCAGATGTTTTATGTTTACCTACAGCAGAACATGAAAAGAGGTACAGATCAGGGCATACTAACCCCAGTTGGATGATTTTAAAAAAATAGAAATCAAGTAAAACTGCAGGCTCTGCTAGGGCTAGAACAAAAATCTGCATCCCTAACTGTTTCTTGTTGGATGGTGTGTCTGACTGCCCAGGCAAACCTCTGGGTAGTTTTTTCTGCAAATATTTTTCCTGTCTGCAGTAATGACACAGTGTTCTGGAAAGAAAGCTGTTTAGCATCCTGGCTCTTCATTATTAGCCATAATCAGGCATCACAAAGTTCCCTGTGCTCTGGCTCCTGTTGTTTGTTTTTGCCAGATTACTGTGCGATCTGGTTAAATCATTTTCCCTCTTTGGGCTTCACCTTCCCATCTGTTCAGTGAGGAGTTGAACCAGATGATCTTTACATTCCCTTTCAGCATTTGAGTTGAGTGACCCATTTATAGTTGAGTACTCAACTGTCTTAGGTAGAAATACATAAAATTCAAGGAAAGAAAAAAAGTAGTGCCTGTATATGGTTCACGTAAGGAGTTGAAGGAGTCATCCCACCTACCTATCAGACATCATCAGTGCATCCAAGTGGCAGATTTTGTGATGGCAGTGACATTGAATTCTAACAATGTAAGATCCTCACCTAAGGTAGAGTCTCCCTATTTGAGGAAAGCCTTATAGAACAAGTACCAGGAGCACTGAGGCTGGGTCCTTAGGATTATAACAATATTAGCCTCCTGAAAAGCAGGCAAAACTGATCGCAAGTCCTGTATCAGCCTCTAAATAGACGAATAACTTCAACAGCTTAATTTGCCTCTCTATGACCAGATATCAGCTATAAAATCAAGATACTAGCAATGTCAGGGATAGGACAATGTACATTGCAACCATTCATGAGAGTTGCTATTATACTATCATTATGTAGCTTTTGTTGTACATATGGTTGATAAGTCCCCTCCCATTGTGTTTTGTAGATTATAAAGCTGGAGAAGAATGGCATCGGCTACCATTATATCCTTGCAAATCTGGTGAGTAGAGCACTGTGGATTCAGTTAGGTGTCTGTCTGTGTTTTGTGCCGAGGCTTTCTGCTCCAAGCCTTGCCTGGTGAGAACTGTGTGGGTGAAAGGGGCAATTCAGAGTTGCAACATTGTCTTGAAATTACCAAATTTATCTTTCCCTCCCACATCTCACTTGTCAAAACATAGCATATTGTTCATGAATCTCATTAATCATCACAATGCCAGCCTTAATTGTCTCTCACCCTTGACAATAACGGACAAAATCACCACATTTTTTAATGGATGCAAGATGTCTTGATCCCACTGCTATGAGCCCTCTATTTATTTTTAAAGATCTATTTATTTTTTTATTTATTTACCTACTTACTTATTTAAAAGGAAGAAGGGGGGGATGGAGGGAAGGGAGAGACGGAAAGAGGGAGGGAGATAGAGAGAAATATCTTTATGTGCTGATTCACTCCCTAAATGCCCTCAACAGCCAGGGCTGGGACAGGTGTAATTCAGGAGCCCAGAATTCCATTTAGATCTGCCACAAGGGTAGCAGTAACCCAAGTACTTGAGCCATCTTCTACTGCCTCCAAGGCACACTGATGAGAAGATGTAAAATCAAAGTAGCCATCCACAGTAGCTGGGGGCCTTCAGCCCCAAATCTCATATGGGATGCAAAAAAATTATTATTCAGCAAGAAAATTATTATGCTAATTTATTCTTAATTCATTTTTCTATATGTCATAGCCTTTTGCCTAAAAAAAAAATTCTTTAAACATATGACAGTTCTTATTGAGTATAGTTATATGAAGACACCTTGATTCAAACCTTGATCAAACAATTTTTGTACATAGTAAGTTTTATGAGTAATAGCTTCCATTATGAAGTCTTTGTCCACTGTTTCTATCAAGCCTATTTTTTCTGGGTCACATTTTACTCATCTATCTCTGAATCATGCATTTTGATACCACCACCTGCCATTTTCCAATGTCAAATATAATTTTATGTTTAGTCTCATGTTTTGAGAGCCTCATTAAGTTGCAATTCACATACCATAAAACTAATCTAGTTAAGACATAAAATTCAATGGTTTTTAATAAATTCAGTTATGAAGCCATCATCACCATTCATTCTTTTTTCCAAAAACTTCGCATCAACCTGAAAAGAGATATCATGCCCATTAGCATTCATTCCCCATCATCCTCAAAGCTCTAAGTCCCAAGCAACCACCATTACTTTTTGTCTCTAAGGATTTGCCTGTTCTAGACATTTCAGACAAGTGGAATCTTATATGTTGCCCATTCGGAGGGACCACTTTCATTTGGCATGTTTGCAAGGTTAACTCATATTAAAGCATTTTCAGCACTTCCACTCCTTTTTCTTGCCAAATAATATTGTTCATCAACGGTTGATGAACATTTGGTTTGCTTTTGTGTGAGTTATTATGAGTAATGCTGCTATATGAGTGTACAAGTTTTTCTCTTCAGTACCTAGGAGAGGAATTGCTGCCCTATATGATAGCTCTGTGTTTATATTTAGAAAAAACTCAAAAATTTTAAACTACAGTCATTGAATCTCCCATCAGATTTTAATCAGTAATAAATTTTTCCATACGACATATTGAGTATATGTCAATATTCCTTGCCAATTTGGCCTTTCTACAAAATTTATTTGTTAGTGTAGCTTGCCTTTGTGATTTTTCAATGTTTCCATTAAGATGTGATTTTTTTTACATTTTTAATTTGTAATTAATGTTCAGTTTTTATCATGTTTAACTGAATAGATAACTGTCTGGTTTTAGCTATGTTATTTTGTGGCTTATTTTTGTAATTAATATTAATTATTAACTAAACAAAATATTGATCTTTTTGATGTATTTCTGGAGTGAAAGTTATTAATAAAAGTATAGCACAGAATACATGGATCTAAAAATGGGACCAAAATATCCTGCCTCATCCCAATCCCTCTTTCTGGCCTGGTCTCCAGATTTAAATAAATCCTGCCTTACCTTTCTTTTCCCTTCAACATCTATTGCTCCAGCTATACTGGCATTTAAGGTTCAGGTCTTGAAATAGAGCTTATTGAGACAAATTAACATAGACTCAACTGTTAATAGTTCGTCACTTTCCTCAGAAGTATTTGTATTAGAAATGAGTGGGAAAACAAAATGAAGTCAACCTATGAGAGTATTTGCATCCCCATGTTTATTGTAGCTCAGTTCACACAATAGCCAAGAAATAGCATTAACTCAGATATCCTCAACTTAGGATGAAGGAAATGTCACACACACACACACACACACACACACACACACACAGTATGGGATACTACTCAGTCATAAAAAGACTGGAATACTGTCATTTGCAACAAAATGGGGATATCTGGAAATCATTTTGCTTAGTGAGATAAATCAGTTTCAAAAAGATAAATGTGTTCTCTGATATACAGCAACTAACATAAAATACCAAAAGAAAAAAGGAATGAAATAGTCACTTTGGTATATGATTGCTGTTTTTAACATATCTTCATTCTCCAACTGAACTGTGGTCTTCCTATTTTTTATCTGTGAAATATAGTGATTAGTGGTGAAGTAAACCTTTGAATATAGAGTGAATTATTAAAATTCTATCTTTGCAGAAACTAACGAGGAAAGGGGAGGGAGAGAAGTGTGGTTGTCTTCTTGGAAATGTACCTATGAAGTTCATGAAATCTGTTCTCTTGATTTTAACAAATCTAAAATATGCTGAAAAGACAAAATTCATGATTAGTGTTCTTACCACAATAAGACAAAAGTAGGAGATAGGGGAAAAAATGGGGAAATGAGTGGTAGTTGTTCAAGTAAATGAAGAGATGGATTTTTCTTTTTTTACTTTTGTTACACTTTGAAGTGAGGAGTGCCCTTGATATCTCCTTGATGAGTGATGCTGGCGGGGACTGTGGAAGTCAGCTCCATCTAAACGGCATTTACTTATAGGAAATAGATTCAGAATCAGTAACGGGATATGACATGGCCTGGGTTACACAATGGGTAGTCAACAAGGGAGCCAGGCCCAGCACCAATTTTATCAGTGTAATGCCTTTCCCATTCTTTCAGAACATTTGTCAGGGAGAACTTGTGGGCATTTTGCTGCTGGAAAAAAAAAAAACCACAAAACTAGGGTGTGGGCATGTGTAATTTTCTTCCTGAGGGGTACAGAGAATTTCCAAATAAAGACCTCAGGCAATTATATAGCAAGATTCATTTGCTGCCCACTGACCCCTCAGTCAGAGCATCCCCAAGTCAGCTCCCAGGGTTGCCCACTCTTCTGATGTGCATTTCTTTTTCTTCTGACCTAATGAGCTTTCAAATCCTTACAACTGTCGCCTAATAGGATGCAAATTGTATATACCATCTAAATACAAAAGAATTGCATGTTCCAATAGATTAGTTGATAATTAGGCTTCAAATTACTAATTAATTCACTTTGAAACACAGTTCAGTATGTGCTGTGATTTCTTCTTCCTTTAGAGGAATAAAATAATTTATAAAATAATTTTTAGAAATCCTGCCACATAATTAGCCTGGTGCTACATGGAACTGACCCATTCCTTCAGACTGTTTGTGACTAGGATGTAATTATAGAGTTAGGGACCCTGGGAGCCTCGGGGAGGTTAACAAAAGGATGAAGCTGCATTTTATTCTGTAGTTCCTTCTGTTCCTGCTGCAAGGTCTGGGCTTCAGAGTATCCAGCAGCATTGTGTTACCAGATGGCTTTGGAAGGAGGGAGGCTCTGAAGGTTCAAACCACCACTGCAGGGTATCCAGAAGAGAGGAAGGAAAGAGATTATGGATCAGAAAAGGGAGCTTATGGACAGAGTAAAATAAAATTAAATCATAAAATAAAAATATGCTTTTTATCTAGATCCCACCTTTGAGTATGTTTTGTGGCTCTCCACCCCCATCTCCTCATCTGTCCATCAGATATAATAGCTCCTACTCTGTGCTACCTACCCAGGTCTCTACAGAAAACCAAAGCTGCTGTCGAATGCCAACATGCTTCGAAAAGTTAATAAGGGCTCTGCACAGGTGCAAAATTCTTTCTTAATGTTCACATGTGGTTTGAACAAATGTAAATGCAGCCAGGATTCCATTCAGAAATGTAATATAGATGCCAGTGTCATAAAGGGTGGTTAAACCTACTGCCCCGCCCAGACCACTTCTTAAAATATGTTTTCCTACCTAGCTGTAATGATATCTCCTTTGAGACAACAGTTCTTAAGATTATCAGCATTATCCCCATTTTCCAGATAAAGAAAGACTTAGAGAGAATTTTACCCACCCGAATTATTAAGCAATAGATTTGGACCTTCCAGGATCACAGAACCTCAATGCTTATGTTTTTACTACCATGGCCAGTGACTTCTGAGCATGGGAGAGGTAGGAACATAGCTGTGGATGTCCTTGACACAATGACTTGCATTCAGATCTTGCCTGCTGTGGCAGCAATCTGAATTTTAAACTCGGGCTCTCAAACTCATTTGGGGCCTGATGTAATGGCAGTAAAACTATCACTTTAGCTGTGACAGCTGCTGAGGGAGAGACAGAGAAGTCATTCCAGGTTTTATTGAGGTCCTTGACCAGAGCAGACAACCTTTAATGCCATGTGGTCTCAGCTGAACTCCTGGGGAATGCTAAGAGTCACAAGTTTAGGTTCATGTAACAGCCACTGTAAGCCCTCAGCTCTCTGCTGCTGCTGTCCATCTGCTGGGTCAGCCCTAGAAAGAAAGTGCTCTTCAGTCAACTTGCATGCCTATGGTGAGAAACTTGTCAACTCCTTCTTTAGGGCTGAAATCAATGCACTTTCTTTGGCAGCTCTTCTGCAGCTATCTCAGTAACACACATAGTTCCATTTTGTTTCTGCAGCCTCAGGCTAGGCAGGTGGCTGGTAGGTAAGAAGGGTGTCTCTGGGGTAAGAGGAAACTAAGATTCAATTCTGGCTTTATACATAGTAGCTGTTTGGTATTAGTCAAATTATCTACCC